CGATGGAACTGAAAAGTCAAGCCCCCCTAAAGCCACTGTGTAGTTAATGACAGAAGTTACTGACTTTTGTAAAAGACTCCATCGTTTCTGTTTTCCTAGCATGCACCTACGCAGGGGAAAGAGAAAGCCACACATCCCTCCACGCAGGATGCAGGTTCGTTCTGGACACAACTTCCTTGAGTACTCTCAGGCGGGGCGAGCCGCTTCGCAGCCGCCTGGTGCAGTCTGTGCCGCGCACTTGTTTGGGCCTTTTGTCTTCTTGGAGTTCTTCAAAGCGAAAGGACTCTAGTGAAAGAAACTGTTGCCCAGCGTTCTCCTCGCTGCTCCGAAGTCCGACCACAGTACCGTATTTCAGGTGGCCCGTTCATTCCTGAGGGAAAGTTACGGCTTGCGTTTTAAAACCCTGCCCTAGGTCACTCGTTGTTTGAGAATTTGCCAAATTTCCAAACTCACCAAAACAAGCCTCTGGTTTAACCTGTAAGCCTTGTTTCCTGCATTCTCAAGAGGCCAAAAGGTCTCATTTTCTTCCAACAGTCCACACTGTAGACATTTTATTTATTACACGAGGGGGAGAAAGGAGGGAGGTAAACAGGGAGGGAGATGGAGAGAGAGTGAACCTCGACAGGGTTCTGACCTACAACCCACCCCGGCCAGCCCTGGATCATGGGTGTGCGTGTGCTCGGTGTGCTCACGGGTCTCTGGGTTTGCACTGGGGGTCTTGCCTCACAGAACATTGTGTTACCCCTACACCACCTGTCTGGCCCCATCACGCTGTGGATTTTCTGAGAGCATCCCACGCTGTCATGGCATCCCACGGTGACATCAGATTTTTTTTTTGGAGAGGTTTTTGCTATAGGTCCCCTGTGCTTGCCAAAAAGACATAGAGAGAAAGCGAGAAATCACCCCCCAGGGGAGATGGCCACGCCGCAATCCCTTCTCCTCCATTCTCCTCTCAGGATCTTGGGCATGCACACACATGCGCCCGGCCTGAGTTTAAGTCACTGGGTCCAGGACTCAAACCATGGTCGACTACATGGGAGTCCAGCGACAGTCATTATGCTAACTGCTGGTTCCGTCACTTGATTCTGATTGTGCCAAAACACTTTGCTAAACAGTAGTCTCTTTTGGTTGCCTTTTTTTCTTTTTAATGACCAGAAAGCCCACATGCTCACCAGTGAGAAACAGAGGGGAAGGGAGAAAGCATCTGCTAATGGGGTCTGTCCCACCGCAGTCCCTACGCCTCCATTTCTCCATCTGTTGGAACTTGGGGCACACACACACACACACACACGCACACATGCCTGGCATGTTTTCCAAGCCACCAGGGCCAGGATTTGAACTGCACAGTCAGCCATGTTGGACCTGGTTTCCTTAACCACTAGACAATGGCACCAGCCCTAGATGTTTTATTTTAGGATGACGAATATTTCCTTGTCTCAACAATAGCCTAAGAAAATGGTTTTTAAAATGGGCTTTTTTTGGGTCGGTTCCAAATGCTTGAGTTCAGTTTCAATTTTAAAAGATCTTAAAGGCTTTAACAGCCTGTTTCCAATGCCAGACTTTAAGTCTCCGAAGCCCAACTTTTCTAGCTCATTTTTTCTTGGGAGCAAGAGTAAAACTGCATTGTTAAAGGTGAGGACTTGGATGAGCTTTTGTTGCTGGTTGTTTGTTTTTGTTTTGTTTTAGAGATTTTTGCACTTGCTGGACAGAGACAGAAAACAAGACATCATCCCCCAGGAGGGATGGCCATGCTACAATCCCTTCTCCTCTATCCTCCTCTCAGGATTTTGCATACACATGCACACACGCCTGGTATGAGTTTTTTTTTTTTTTTTTTTTGAGAGATTTTCACTGTAGGGCGCGTGCGCTCGCCAGACAGACAGAGAGAGACAGAGAGACAGAAAGCAAGAAATCACCCCCCAGGGGGGATGGTCACGCCGCAATCCCTTCTCCTCCATTCTCCTCTCGGGATCTTGGGCACGCACACACACGCGCCCGGTGTGAGTTTTAAGCCACCGGGTCCGGGACACGAACCGCAGTCGACTACGTGGGAGTCCAGCGACATAGCCATTACGCTAACTGCTGGTTCCCTATGCCTGGTATGAGTTTTAAGCTGCCGGGTCCAGTCGACTACATGGGAGTCAGCGATGTAACCATTAAGCCGCCTGCTGGTCCCTTGGAAGAGAGTTTTTATTTGCCAGAGGCCAGAGCCAGTGGGCCTAGGATTACAGCTATTGCCAGCAAGTGTTCATTTCCATGGGCTTTGCAATCCCAACTGAGGGGAAAGCCCTTCTTCCTGTGTTAGGGACGGGAACACAGCCGTCAACAGAAGCCAGCTGAGGAATGCAGATGTCCACGTTACTGGACAGTTTCGAAGCCAGAGGAAGCTATAAAGGGAAAAGATAGCCAGTAACCACAGAAGATGCGCCACACGATTTGATGAGACTGGTACTTGGCCCCTAAATCTATTATCCAGACTAATCATGAGAAAGACAGCAGACAGTTCTCTAAGGGGGGTGGTCCACAAACTATCTGACCACAGCCATCAGAAACAAGACCAGTCTGCACTGGCCAAGAGGAGCTAATGAGACTGACCACTCAGGGTAATGCACCCTGGATGGATTCTGGAACAGAAAAAGGGCATTCGGGGAAAACTAAGGGGATCTTGAAAACTAAGGCCCTAGTTACAACACGATCCATCCTGCTTCCTTTTGTTATGAGCAGTGTGTGCTAAGAATGCCAGACACGGGGCCAGCAGATGGCACAGTGGCTAAATCGCTGGACTCCCAGCATGGCCAACAGCAGTTTGAGTCCCAGACGTGGAGGCTTGAAAATCACACTGGGCCCATGGGCATGTGTGCCCAAGATTCTAGGAGGAGAATAAAGGAGAAGAGATTGCGATGTGGCTCTCTCCCTTGGGGGGGCGATCACTTCTCGCTTTCCCTTTCACTGTTTCTGTCTCTCTGGTGAGCTCATGTGCCCAAGGGCAAAAATATATATATATACATACAATATATATATATACATACACACTCTAAAAAGAATGCCAGATGTCAGCTGGGAATATCATATGGGGTGTGGAGTACGCAAGAACCCTGCACTATCTTGACTTTTTTTTGTAAATCATAGTCTAAAATAAAGTTAACTGGGAAAAACAAAAACAAAACAAAACAAAAAAACAAGGAGCAACATGTTGGTTTGTTTTAAAGCACTATTTCAATTTCAACAGATTTCACGGGATCACCGTCTTAGCTGGATAAACCGTGAGCTCAGATCAACCCTGATGGCTTCAGCAGCTGAGAGAGAGAGGAGAGCCAGTGGCTCCCTTTCCCTGTTCCCACACTAAGGCACATTTGAGCCTGAGAACTTCCTTGGAAGAGGCCCACATCTCCATCTGTAGTAAGGAAAAGTTTATAGGCCAACATTAGTATCCCTGGAGGTCGGCCGGAGTCGATTTCCATGCCTTATAGGTCACGAAGATGAAACTTTTGCCTTTAAACTTTAAACTAAGCATCTGGCTTTACACTTTACTTTTATCAAACTGTTAGTTTAAATAACATCACAGTATCAAACTGCTTATAAATGTTTATTAAATGTCAGTCTTTTTTTTATTACAAAGCAGATATTAATAGCAAGAGGGAGATTTCTTTTTGCAAACTATGTACAAAAGTATAAAGCCTTAATGAACTAGCAACTCGTTTTGTAAAAATCAAACCACTTTTTCCACTTTTAGACCGCCTTCAGAAATAATTTATTGCCAATCATGAACTAAAGCACTGACAAAAAATTTACAACGATATCAGATAATGTGCTCAGTTCCTGCAAAGCTATAAAGAGAGATATGTAAAAAACCTTAGGCCACAAATACTTTTATACAGAGCTAATACAAATCATGTTTTGTTAGGTACAGTGTCCATGAGGTTGTTACAAAATACACGCTTAGATAAGGCTTCTTGTGGTAAATGAACTCTCACGCTGTAGCGTATAGAAAAGCCATTTTAAACATGTTGCGATTTCGCTCTCGAGTAAGAGGTAAAGAATAAATAGAATGGTTTGTTGTGTGGTTACATACATACACTTTGCAAGAATTAATTCCTACCCTCACCCCTTTCCTCTTGGCATCATCAAATAGGCACGACCAATGACAAGTCTATCACTTACTATGGCAAGCACGATCATGAACAAGCTTTCTAAATACAAACCAAAATCACATACCAAGTAAATAGGAGACTGCTATCGGGTGATAGTCACTGACAGAGAATTTATGAGTGGTGGGTCTCAATGCGACCCATCTGTAAATTTTCATCATTATCACAAAGAGATCTGTATAGGTCACAAAACTTATTAACCCAGACAATACTGCCATCTCATTAATGCTTTCGAAAACAATCAGTGTTCTAGATAAGCTCTGGCGTCTGAACCCGGATGGTCAGAACTGAACGCCACAGGAGCAGACACCGTTAACTGCTAACTATACATTCAAGTCCAGACATAAGCAAGCCAGAGGTGCAAACGCCGAACTTCATATGATGTTAACAATCCTCTCCCGGCCCAAGGCTATTATCTACCTGATGGCACTTGAAAAAGCCGTATAGTTGAACCTGTTTACAATGTTCAGGTTTAGACTGATGCGTCAATCTCTAGCACAAATTTACTAAGCCCTAACCTTGTACCGTGAAATAATAAGTGTGTTCTGGATCACCTGCTTTATTTGGAACGTGGAGATACAAACTCACTCATTCTCTCTCTCCTTCTCAGGCAGACTGCAAGGCCAACCTGTATCCTATTATTACATTTAAAAAAAAAAAATCAGTACTTGGACCAGAGCAGCATGACTTAAGGATGGGTCATTGGTGATTAATGAACTTTGGCATAATGAAACACTGGGGAAGAGACGAAGCGACTAGGCACGAGGCAGGCTTCCAAGTGAGACACATGCAAAACTTCTGTTTCTGCTCGATTCCTCCTGTAAAACTAAAACAAATGAAAAGGTGACAGAGTGACTTTGTCTAGGTTTATTAGGGAGTTTGTTACAAATGCTTGACTGGGCTTTACAGGCATGATTCCATGGATTCAAACAAAATATTAAGAGTTAACACTGATATTTAGCCTTCTTGTTACATATACAGAAATAACATGGCTACAAATTGCAATGGAGAGAATCACGTTTCAAATGGTTGGGTTTGGGGCTTGGTTTAAATGTATCATTACAGAATGAAAGCACCAATTTGAGGGTTTCCCAAATAGTGATTTGACTTTCAGAACATAACAGCATAACTTGGTAACTTTATTGTTTATATAAATAAGGCATAACCGGATATGTGAACTAATGCTGCAAATACATTTTATCAAAAACATAAATACATGAATTCAGGTATACATGGAAAGTTTTACCCCCTCCTTCTTATTAAAAAAATTGTAGGGCATGAGATTTCTGTTGAGTCCAAATCAATACATCCATCGTTTCTTTTATTATCAAGGTGATCTTATTTCCTTCTACTTTAAACCAACCACTGCCACAAGCGACCGATTTCCCTAAACAGCCCCAGAGTGAGTAACCGAAGACCTTCTTTATGTGAACTACATGCCAATGCAATTTAGGAGAAAACCAATCAAAAATGACCTTTTTCATTCCACACTGCCTTCTTTGGTTACAGTTGCACTCTAGCTATTGAGTGCCCTTTCCAGATAATAAAACTGAAACAAAAAATCCAATTTAATGCACTATTTGGCAGAAAGCAACAACTGAAGTTATTAAAAATAACATAAATGGCAGAGGCTTGCTTTGAATAATTTAGAAAACATCTGACAAAGCCCTTTCCCTATACAAAGTTAAGGTCTAAATTGGTGGTGTTCTTTGACTTATAAGGCAACTCCGTATGTTAAAAATTTCTTCAAGGTCAACTAAGACACTTGTGTGATATTTCTTCAGAATTAAGTGGGAAGGCATTCAGATTTAAGAACACATAGTAGCACAGAATTAGGCACACTTTATTACAAATCATAACCACGAAGATTAAAAAAATGGAAAATACCAAAGTACAACAAGTTATGTTTTTAGAGATCAGGGGCAAGTTGGCATAGTAAAAATTATGAGCACCTTTTTGATTCTGTTCACTAAATTTCAAATCCCTCTTCATATAGTGGTATTTCAAAAGAATCTGGTTTTCATGATGCAAGTTTAAGGCTCCTTCAAATGGTTTTAAAACAGCGTGTTTTTAAAAACGTGGGCAAAAGCCTTCGGATTGAACCTAATACGGCCTGTCTAGATTGATTTGCTCTCTCAAAATATATTCTATATTTTATTATTCTTTTTTATTTAAAAAAAAATGTTGATTCTGAGACATCACAAGTATCAGAGAAAAAAAGAGGCAAATCCCCCCACACACTACAAGATCTGTTTGGTATTTTAGCAGTTCTTGTAGACAGTCACCTGGGGACACTTGGTGATTTCTGCTTTGTCAGGCAATGTATTTGTGGTTCATACAAAGATCTTAAATATTACTAAAATAAGACAAAGATGACCTCTTTCTGTAAGGAGTTGACTTTAGCCTTCAATAGAATTAAAACATTTTGGCCATTCAATCAAAAACTATTTACTAAATCTGCAGACTCTCCACCACAGTCCAACTGCTACTGCATACAATACAGTCTGATGTTCGTTAGCACTGAGATTATGCTACACTGGGAATTTACACAGTAGATTATTTTTGGCAAGAAACACTAGATGTAGAACTATTCAAACATGCATGATTTACACTGTGAACGCCTGCATTATGATGCTGGGTTTCGTGTCTGTAGCTCACGTATGACCAGGGCAGGAAATCGCTGGAAGTTACATGGATCTGCTAGTGGAACTTCAAGTGCAAGAGAATTCAGGTATGTCCAGAACAATCCCTGGTTAGCTCACCGACAAGCCTTGCTCTTACACCAGACAGCAAGACGGAACAAGTGCCACTGCCTGGGAAGGCAGGGTGCTCCGGAAGGCTGGCCATCGTTCATGGACCAAACACCTGAGAACACAGTCTGCTATACAGTAAAGTGACAGATATCACAGTCTTATTCACGATTTTCAGAAAAAGCAGAAAAGCTGTCAGGCTTTTCCAACTGTCACCAGCCTCACAGTTCTGTTTCTCTAGTCCAATTTTGATACTGCCTAGAACCTCGAGGGTAGAATTTATTAGTACTGCAAACCAGCCACTCCGATGGGCTCACTATGAATGTGTCTGGGGTCACCAAGCTACTTCACTGGCAGGTTTTAGTTTGGAAAGCAGTACGGGAGGTCAAATGTAATCATCTTGAGGTGGGAACTAAAAAAGCCACTACTTATCCTTAGAAGTATCCTTGAAACACTTAAAATGTACCTCAATAAAGCTGGCATTTCATAAACAATTACACAAACATACACATTCTAAACTGCATCTTTCAGAGACAGACCAAGAATGAACAGGAACCTCAAATAATGCCTCTTGAGAATTTTGACAGCAACCTACTGCCCTTGGCAAGCTCCAAACACAAAAACCCCATTAAATGCTAGTTTGGAGTCGATGGGAATGGACAGGAGAGCAAAGAAAAAAGGAGGTCTATGATGGTGTAACTGATTTCCTGCAGCAAGGACCGGAACCCAGTGGGACAGGGTTCAAAGGTGAAACACACAGCACCCTGGAATAGGTACGTGTATTAGAGAAGTTCTCTTGCCAAGCTACTTACAGTTCTGAGTTGCGGCTATGGCCGGAACGTTTATATATGGCATGTTAAATTACATGACCATTAAATATGAAAAGGCAAGCTGTATTTCGCTCGAAACTTGTGACCAGACACTGTATCTGTGGCATCTGCTTGCCCTTTGCTCCCTGGTACCATCTGTGAACTCTGTGTTAGCATCAGACCAGAAATCCTTATGTAAACTTTAAAACACTAAGAACATTACCTTCAGGAACCAGACATGGACAAGAAAACAACTGTTGTGCATGTAAGCTACTAGAAAACAGGAAGACGAAACCCGTGTCCATCTGCAGAATGCCATTCCTCAGATGAACCCGGTGTCCTTCCAACAGCCCTTTCCAAACAGCAGGTCACCACGAAGCCAGGCAACAAGTGGCACCGCTACGTAGACTGAGTGCTCTTAATCCATACCTGCAAGTATTTAAGGACACTGTCTACACTTGGCACTACAGGAGAATTCAGTCTGAAAAGTGGAAGGACTTAAAGCCTGAAAGATACCTAGTCTGAGGTCAGCTGGGAAGTTCTAAGTGGACTGGAATGGAAGCCACAGTGAAATAAATCAAAGCCTGAATTTCAGCAGATATTGGCGATGTGTTATTCAGCAGCTTTCAGCCACAAACAAGGCCGCAGAGGAGTACTAAGATTTCCAAGAAGTTAAAGAATCAAGATGTTTCTAATTCCTGTTGTAAACTGCTATTAAAAAAAAAAAAAAAAACGAAACAAACAGAAAACAGTCAAAAACACAAAAAGATATTAAAATAGCAGGTCTCTGTACATCACTGTAGCATAAGCTGCTTGAGGTTGTCATGAAGAATAGTATCCTTCACGTCGCGGAAAACGAGGGCAGCTTTCAGCCACAAACAAGGCCGCAGAGGAGTACTAAGATTTCCAAGAAGTTAAAGAATCAAGATGTTTCTAATTCCTGTTGTAAACTGCTATTAAAAAAAAAAAAAAAAAACGAAACAAACAGAAAACAGTCAAAAACACAAAAAGATATTAAAATAGCAGGTCTCTGTACATCACTGTAGCATAAGCTGCTTGAGGTTGTCATGAAGAATAGTATCCTTCACGTCGCGGAAAACGAGGCGGATGTTCTCCGTGTTGATCGCCGTGGTGAAGTGGTGGTACAAGGGCTTCTGCTGCTGGTCCCGGCGTTTGTTCCGGAAACATTCCACCAGGAATTTTTGGACGTCTCTTAAGCAGTGGGGATCCCCTTCAAATTCTAGGAAGTAGTCTTTTATGCTCACAATTTGCACTTTCTCCTCCAGCAAGTCTGTCTTGTTTAAGAAGAGAATTATGGAGACATTGCTGAAAACCCGGTTATTGACGATTGTTTCAAAAATGTTCAGAGATTCTGTAAGGCGATTGGTCAGTCGGTCTTCCATAAGAACCTGGTCAAATTCACTTGAAGAAACAAGGAAAAGTATCGATGTCACACTGTCGAAGCATTCGAACCAACGTTTCCTTTCTGACCTTTGACCACCTACATCAACCATTTTGAAAGGAACATTTTTAATTTCAAAGTCATACTCATGGATGCCTTTAGTGGGTCTTCTGGCAAGAAGAATATCCTGCTGGGATGGAATGTAATCCTGGAAGAGGAAAAGAAAGTTGTTTTATACTTAGTAATCCGTAAGTAATTTTAGAACTTTTAATGAACTAACTGATCCAAAGATCTTTTTTTTTAAGAGAGGTTTTTGCTATAGGGTGTGTGCAGTCACTCGAGAGGCAGAGAGAGACAGAGAGAGAGAGAAAGTGAGAAATCACCCCCTGGGGGGGATGTCTATGCAGCAATCCCTCCTCTTCCATTCTCCTCTTGGGATCTTGGGAATGCACGCACAGGCTCCTGGTGTAAATTTTATTAAGTCGCCATGTCCGGGACTCAAATTGGGGTCAACAACATGGGAGTCCAATGATCTGCTGATCTTTCCAATGATCTTTTTAGTAACATTTTTTCTTCTTCTTTTTGCTATAGTTTATTCATTTATTCGTGTTGTTGTTGAGATTTTTTGCTATATGGCTTGTACACTTGCCAGAGACAGAGAGACAGAATGTGAGAAATCAACCCCCGGGGGGATGGCCACGTCGCAATCCCTTCTCCATTCTCCACTCGGGATCTTGGGCACACATGCACATGCGCCCAGTGTGAGTTTAAGCCACCGGGTCCAGGACTTGAACCGCGGTCGACTACATGGGAGTCCAGTGACATAGCCATTACGCTAACTGCAAGTCCCTCAACATAACATTCTAAGCAGTGACTACAAACTGAAGTTGTCCCAGAGCTGCTCATTCAAAGGCTGTTGCCTATTTCATGCCAGGCATGGTCACTAGGCGCCAGGAACTCAAGTCTCCACAATCGAGAGAGAGAGAGAGAGAGACTTTGCCCTTACGGAAAGAGATAGGCAAAGGCAAGGTAATCACCAACTGCAGTATGTGTCGTGGAGGGAACAAATCAAGGGCCGAGGTGAAGAGGAGAGGACCTACTGCGAACCGTGTGCTCGGGACACCTATCTGAAAAGGTAAATGGAGACGAGAGGTCAAGTTGGCGCTGCTTGGACTGGGAAATGAGAAGTTAACTTTAAAAACCTGTTTATCCACTACAGTTTCTTTCCATTTGATATACATCTAACTTTTTTAAAGGCTTACAATCCAACTGGGTGGAAAAGTGACAACAAAACAGATCTTAATACATCTTAATATCAAGTTTCACTGATGTGGACTGAATGAGTAAAAAACAAATTATGGGGACTGGCAGGTGGCATGGTGGTTAAGGGCACTGGACTCCCACATGGTTGACCATGGTTTGAGTCCCAGACCTGGCGGCTTGCTTTCTCACTTTCTCTCTCTCTCTCTCTCTCTCTCTCACTCTCACTCTGTCCAGATAGATAGACAGATAAATGGATAGAGTTAAATAAAAATGATTCTTAAAAATATCACAAATTATGGAGATCTCAACTTCCAGAGGACACCTGTGTTTAAGAAATAGGCAGAAAAAAAAATGTGTGTATATGTATTTGTGTGCATATATGTATGTGTGTGTGCACATATATGTTGTATGTGCATATATAATTTTCAGACAGGGCCCTGCCATGTCACTGGCTCAGCCTCCTGGGCAGATGGGACTCACAGACACTGGTTACCACACTGAACTTTTCAGGGTGGACAAGGAATGAAATGTGGGCTCCCCATGTGGCCTCAGCCTGCCAACAGCAGTGTCCAATGTGTGCCATTGAGGGTGGGCTGCTTCAGCTACATTTTTAAAACTAAAAACCTCAAGGGTTTTGGAGCAGCAGTAAAATAAGATATTCCGAAACTGACTCACATAAGAAAGTTCTAGGTTCACCTCTAGAGCCCTTCCTGAGTGTGACACACACGTGCCCATGACTGGGGCTGGCTGAGGGTGGGGATGGATCACATCCTTAAGACCCTGCTAGGGTACTCTCTCATTCATGGAAAAACTATTTAAAAAGCCCTCCAATACATAAGACCATGTTAAAATTTTTAACAGAAATTTGCTTTAAGAAAGGCAGGTAGAGGCCAGCAGCTGGCGTAGTAGTGGTTAAGACACTAGAGCCCCATACACCCCCAAACGGCTGTGTTTCAAGTCCCGAATCTCGCGGCTTGCTTTTTCACTTTCCCTTTCTCTCTCTCTCTCTGGTGAGCCCAAGTGCTTTATAGCAAATTAAAAATAACAATAAACAATTTTTTAAAAAAAGAGGTAGCAGGGCAAGCAGATGGCATAATGTTAAGGCGCTGGAACCCACATAGCTGACTGTGCATGTGTGCCCCAAATCCCAAGAGAATGGCGAGCAGAAGGGATTGCAGTGAAGCCATCCCCGGAGATGCGGGGTGATTTCTTTCTTTCCCTCTCCTTTTGGTCTCTCTCGGGAAGCACATGGCCTATGGCAAAAAAAAAAAAATCAGTAACAGATAACTCTAGGTTGATGGCTTCCAAAAATTTCCTAAGCAGCAAGGACCTTTCGTCCCGTGAACTCTTCTGCTAAGTTCCACAGGGAGGACAGACAAGCAGAGCCTCTCCACCTGCAGTGCACTCAGGAAGTCCGAGCCCTGGCTGAGAGGTGCTGGCTCGCAGGGATCCACTACAGGCAGCAGGTTCCGCTAAGGGGGCCTCCTCCTTTCAAAGGCCCAAGGTGGAGTCCTTTTTTAAAAAATGTTCAATTTGTTTTGTTTGTTTTAGAGAGATTACCGCTATAGGGCACATGCACTCACTGGAGAGACAAAAAGTGAGAAATCATTCCCCAGGGGGAATGGTCAATCCCTTCTCTTCCATTCTCCTCTTGGGATCCTGGGCATGAATGCACACATACCCAGTGTGAGTTTTAAGCCACCGGATCCAGGACTCTAACCACCCTAAGTGGGAGGCCAGTGTAACCATCAATGCCATTTGACGGTCCCAAAGGTGGAGTCTTCAACAAGCCTCTGGAATCTAGCCCTGCCTGCTACACTGTAACACAACATACAGGGGTCTCGAAATGAACAATTTCCTTTGCTGAAAGGTTTGAAAATCAACCAACCTACTGTGTTCTTTCCATTTCTGCTTACCATTACAAAACAAAAACAAACAAACAAACAAACAAAAAAACCCAAAGACAATAAAGTATAACAGGCAACGTGTAATCTCACTTTCAAACATACACTTCTTTCTCTAAGTGGTTTTACACCCATAAAGAGTGGGTAAGGGCTTTCCCTCAAGAAAATGGCAGAAACCTGCTGGACAGTAGAGGGAGAAAAAGAAGTGTTGCAGCTGAAAAATTAAATACGTTTTTATTTTGAAAAAAATAAAAATCATTCAACATTCAGAGCTACTATTCACTCTAAATACAGCAGGAAGAGTCAGAATCTGCCACTTGGAAGAAGCAAAAGCTTAATACATAATTTTTCTACACTTCTTAACAAGGTGCCCCCCCCCTCAATAAAAACATTGGCATTCTGACTACTGCTTTCAAAGGCAAAACCCACAAACATTCAGTTTAAAAACTTACTGGTTCTCCAAGTTTATCCAAGTTATCCAGAAAATATTTGACAGATTCACCCTAAAAACAAGAAGAAAATAAATACTTATTAGGGCTTAGAAATGAAAGTCCTAATTACAACAGTTTACATTATACCGTCTAGTTGTAGTTTACGCGGGACATTTCTAAATGTTTAGTCAATCGGTGACTACTGATTTCGGACTAAACAGTCAGCCTTAGCCTTTCTAAAAATGTGAAGAGAGCCTGTTCTGCCACTGCGTAAGCAGTATTCCAAGGAACCATCTACTTGAACAGGATTACCAAAAAATGCATGCTTTTTGATGTAACTATATATCCAAAGGGAAAATGTAATTAAAAAGTAAAAGTGCTTTTTAATAAAACATACACCTACAACTAAAATCTGAGTGAAATTACTTCTGTCTGCCTCTTCTGTCGTAGGGTGCTAACAGTGGAGATGAAAGGACACTCGAAAGGAGGTGAGAATCGTAAACGCCCCAGGGACAGGCATGCGCCTGGACACACTGCTCAGGAAGGTTCTGGACAGTGCTGCAGGCATTGCATCTCCAGGGGGTCTTCGTTCCCTGCACGGCCTGCCCTGAGCCCGTTATTTTATTAGCCCTCCAAGCAAAGGCATCCTAAAGGACACAGAGAAGAGGGGAGCCATTCTGAAGGAGGGGCTCTGTGTCTGCATCTCCTACTCCCCTGCCCCACCCCAGCTGTGCCCGGCCCCTAAGGCACTGCTGCACTAGTGCACAGGAAGAGAAGCACCTTGAGACCTGACTGACTGCAGATTCTGCCGAGGGCGGTCTGGGTGGGGCCCCAGTTTCTGCAGCTCAGGAGTTGACCTGGACCACTCCTGTAGTCACAGGCCTTAAAGCAGCAGTTTTCAAACTTCTGTTCTTAAGATTCCTTTGTATATCTTTAGATTTTTGAGGATCCCTAAAAAGCTTCTGTTTTATGGATTACTGCTATCAATATTCACCATATTATAAAGTATTGATAAACCTGAGAAGTTTTAACAAATATTTTACTTATACATTCATTTAAAAAAAATAGTAACAAGCCCAAGACATGTTACCCCATCTTTGTAGAGCTTAATTGAAGGCAGAAAGACTGATTCTGCATTTGAACTATACAGCAGGTTATTTTGGCCGAAGTATATGAAAGTATTTAGAAAAGAGAAGAGTATTCCCATAACCTTTTCAGATAATATAAATATTCTGTTACTACTCCAAAATTCGACATGTGGTAGTTTCTTAAATGTTAGTTACCTGTGCAACTGCAAATGCAACCAACTAACTTCTGTACTCTGTTACACTGAAATCCATTGGCCTAGCCATACTTTAAATGGATCCTTACCCACCCATGATTCTGCTGGTCGTCTGGAACATAGTGGGTCATTTATTACATTATGCAGATCTTCCAACTACTGGCGTGGATCACTACAGAAGACGATCAAGATTGTACTTGTCACTGTCACCCCACCTCACCAAAAGTCTTAAGTATTGGGCAGTTGTCACAATCTCTCAGCAATAGATACAAGTTTTCCTAAATTCTAATTTTCACTGGAAGGCTTAAATTTTATCACTGGCAACAATGTTTATTTTCCTTAAACCAACAGGAAAGTTCATCTTCTAAAAAATCCCTGTCAAACGCTCAAGCCGGAATAAGTTATTTATCCTGTCCAGTAAAAATGGCGTTGCATGAAAAACGAGGGGAGTTCAGCTCTCTCTGCACCCAGCAGCCCATGCCTTTCCCAGAGACAACAGTCCTGCGTGGGAGTGGTTTCGCTGTGCCTCCCCTCCCATCACAGAGAATACAACGCACTTTCAACTCGAAGACCACCCACCCACACAGGGTTCTGGAGCACCCCAGGGGTCTGTGGAGCACACTCTGGAATTGCTTCCTTGAAGTCCATCGTGGAGGAGAATGTGTGGTGGGGTGGGAGGGGCTGCCTATAATTTCCTCATGATAATGAGCAGTGGAAACTGATGCTGTTTTATGGACCTAGAATGTTGTTAGCGTATTTACAACATCTAATGATGATCATATAGAGAAAGTAAAAGAAAAAAATCTTTAATGAATATTTGGGGCTAAATAAATAATCTGATCAAACTTGTTTGGACACTTTGCATTATACATATCGCACATTTTAATGAAAAACTAGTATGTTAATTTTTGATGAGTACCATCATATGGTCCTCAAAAGGAATCTGAGCTTCATTTTTAAATAAAATCACTAATTATTATAGGACTGTACAACCCAAATGAGGCTATATATATATTTTTTTTTGAGGTTTTTTGCTATAGGGCGCATGCGCTCGCCAGACAGAGACAGAGAGACAGAAAGCAGGAAATCACCCCCCCAGGGGGGATGGCCAATCTGCAATCCCTTTTCCACCATTCTCCTCTTGGGATCTTGGGCACGCACGCACATGCGCCCAGTGTGAGTTTAAGCCACCTGGTCCGGGACTCCAACCACGGTCGACTACGTGGGAGTCCAGCGACATAGCCATTACACTAACTGCTGGTCCAGAGGCTATATATTTCAAGTGCTTTAAAAATAAAAATTAAGGGACCAGCAGATGGTGTAGTGGTTACATTGCTGGACTCCCACATAGTCAACTGCAGTTCAAGTTCCAGACCCAGTGGTTTAAAACTCACCCTGGGTATGTGTGTGCACACATGTCCAAGATTCCAAGAGGGGTTTGGAGAAGAGACTACGTCATAGTCATCGCCCTGAGGAGTGATTTCTCGCTTTCTGTCTTTCTCATGAGCACATGTGCCCTATAGCAAAAATCTCTCTGAAAAAATAAATTAAAATTTAAAATTAAATATCATCAATTCTGTTACACTGAAGTAGATGCCACAGAGTACACACTTCTATGTGCCCTCAATAGAATCTTGTCATGACACAATCCCCTTCCCCCCCAACTCCTTAGGATCCTGAATGCACCTGGAATATTCTTCAAGCTGACCCAGAATCAGAACCACAGGCCTCCGGCATAAGGCATTTAGTGCTACTGCTGCACCTTGGCAGCTGGGCTGGTAAGTAAAATGTTAGTGGTTATAATAATTCTAAGTATTTGTATGTTAAAAACTTCTATACAAACCATGAATCTAATGTAGAATATTTGACTTGTTTCTTTTTAATAGTTTCAATATTTTCAAAATGAACAGTGTTGTGCTGAACAGTTCTGAGCACATTGCTTTATGTGCTTCCAGACGGTGTCCTTAGCGATCCCAGAATTCCATGGCCAAGGTGAAAACTTCCTTAGGATGCCTGCTCCACACTGTTACAAGGGTTCCATCCCGAGTCTGTCCTACCCTGCACGGCTCAAACGCGGGGCTTATTCTGTAACAGTGAATCTAGGTGGCGAGAAAGGAAGCCGAGGTCACAGAAGAGAGTTCTGCAGATGCTTCTGCATTAGCTACGGTACACATTCTGAGACTCCCCACTCGGATGAGTGATGCCTGTCATTTTAGGGAATCCAGAGCAAGGGAGCTCTGTTTCAAGAGAAAATAGATCTCACATTCAAATCAATGATGAAAGCTCAACTATACAAAGATGTCTTTCAATTAATACTGCTTATCTTTGCCTACGGCGAGATAAATGAAAGCTGAAGTAACCTTAAGATAAACGTATTATCTAAAGCAGCAAACCTCTCCCTCCCACTTTCAAAAGTAACCACTTATACCCAACACACTGCTTGTGAGGGTAGAGAGAAACAGGTACACGAGAGAGCTTGCAAATTCATACAGACCTTAGGAAAGTTGTGAGTGGCATACTTCCTAAAACATTTTTGTTTGCCAGAGGTCATGCGCAGTTGCCCGTGAGAGAGAAAAAAAAAGTGAGAGAGCATCTCACTGTGAGAGATGGCCATGCCACGATTCCTTCTCCCCAGCTCGCCTTCTCTTCGGGATTTGGGGCATGCACACAAGCACACGTGCATGGTGGTTTCTCAAGCTACAGGGCAGGGGCCTCCAACTGCCTTAACCATCACACCACTAGGTCCACTTCATAAGATGACTTCTGAATTGTTTTAAAGAAGTTGCTATTTATGACAGCAAGATTTGAAAGTTCACTTTCCACTCAGCATTAAGGTAGCAGTCAACAAAATTTGGTTATATTGGGGCCAGCAGGTGGCATGGTGGTTAAGGCGTTGGATACTCCCACATGGCCAACCTCGGTTTGAGTCCCAGACCTGGTAGCTTGCCTTCTCACTTTCCTTCTCTCTGTGTGTCTTTCTCTGGTCAAATAAAAATGAATGAATGAATGAATAAAATTGGGTGATACTAACATAAGAAATTCAGTCATCAAATAACTGTACTTGATATCCTTGCTACATATGAAATATCTGTAATATGTAAGTGCTAAATTAAAGTCGCAGGCCTGTGGTGGTGGGGCAGCGGTACAGGCAATGTGCAAGGGAAGGTACCCTCATACATGCTGGGAGCACCTGTGCTCCTGGCGGGGGCGGGGGGGGTCTCATGAGGTAGGAAGACCCTCTGAGGGATGCCTGTCTGTGTATGTCTGTCTGAGCCTCTCTTTATCTCTATTGGATGAAAATAAACTGAAAAAATAAAAAGGAAGCTGGTTACAAAAGTAGAGGTTCACAACACTAACCCACTAGTTTGGTACTGTAGTTTTAGTTGTTGGGTTTTTTTGTTTTTTTTTGTTTTGTTTTTGATAAGCTTGACAACATTCATTATTCCTAGGCAGCAAAGCCTGACCTGAATTTGACCCTACATGGTAAACTATCAAATGCCTTGGTGCAAACAGTGGCTACTGCTGCATATGCACTGTATTACTTTCTGAAATCCAAGAGATTCTTCATTCCATAACATATTCAGACTTGGGATTTATAAGACTATGAACCTGAACTATGCATGCTTTGATTTTAGATATTTAACATACGGGCTGTGCTGGTCCCATAGTGAAGTGGTTAATTATTATATTATGCAGGGTGAGCTGGGATCCTATTGACAACATGACTGAAACTGGTCTAAATCCTTGCCCTGGCAGCTTGAAAAATATGTGAGGTACATGTGGGTACAGG